TGTTCATTCCCTAAGCTTTATAAAAGACAAGTGCCTGAAGAAATATTTGTGGCCTTGAAGGTGGGCTGATGGTAGAGCATATTGCCAGAGGAAGGAGAGAGAACAGCAAATAAGCATTCCAAGAGAAAATTTTAGGCCACTTAAAATCTGTTCCCGGTCTTCTTCTGCAAAAGAAAAAGCAGCTTATTTGGCTAGATCCATGGAGCCCAGATTTAAAAAAACTTGGCTCCTTCCTGACTGAAAGAGGGAGAAAGGTGTAGCTGACATTATAGTTTCTTCTCATAGTCATACAAAGCAAATGAGTTTGTATGCAGAGTTTTGCATCAGTCAGGCATGCTCCAGAACTGACTTGAGTCACAGATGCCATTGTCCCCACTGTGACTCAAGGAAATCCCTGGAATTCAAGAGATTTGGAGGCAACATCCTACCTTCCAGAGATTGCCAGACCTCCTCAGACATGGTGAATGATCTGTTGGAGATGACTGAGAAGACAAGGTATTTATACAAACATTATTTTAATCCTACCAAAGGTTTGGGTTTGTTTCAATGTCCTGGTCAGAGAGCCAGTTCATTTCTTATTTTATCCAATCAGGTTCACCCTTCTGTATAGGGGACACTACTGATATGATAAAAGGGACACGCCAGCCATATTAAATGAATGTCAAGCAAGACAGAAGAGACTTCTGCAGAAAGCCTGCTTTCTTACAAAATGAGATTTGCCAAGTTTACAAGAATCATGAGTTGAATTATTCAATTTGATCATGAGCATTGCACATTTTGGTTCAAAGAGATGGTAAACAAAGTTTGCAATATGCCTTAGTCTATGTAAACAAGTGGCATAGAGGTTGCTCTAAGTGTTCACAGAACAATCTGCCTGTCTCCGGTTTGTGTTTTCCCTCCTTTGATTTTCTCGGTTAAAGTGCTAATTCTTTGTTTTAGTTATTTGGTTGGGTTTTAATTTTTCCCCCCTCAACAAAGAATCATAGAACCACTTTCTTATAGCCATGAACTTTAAACATCTGGCCAGAAGTCTGTATTGATCTTCAACTAATTGTACTTAAGCCAATACTTCTGGAACTAAAGAACTCTATAATCACCTATAATTGCTTGACACTGCCACTGAAGAAAGGACAACATGAGTGGACCCGAAGAATTAATTGGACTTGTATGTACTCTCAGCGTATGTAATAGTTGCTTCCTAAGTGGATAGCCATGAGAGGATCAGGAAGAAGGATTAATGGAGAAGGAGTGATTCAGAATAAAGGAACTAGATGATTCAGTTTATCTAATAGGTCCTGTTTTCCTTTTCTTTGTTTTCTTTTTCTTATGCTTGTCTATTTGTCCCAGAATTAATTGTTGGGATGGCACACAATTTCAGGGAGGAGAGTTACTCTAATTAAACTGTGAAAGGATTACAGATTTGTGTTTTTAATTTCTCTCATCAGTTGAAGGAATTGGCTCTGACCTGTAAAAAGAACAGAGAAGAAGAGGAATTTTCAGAAACAGAGTGAAGGAAAGACACAGGGAGAGATTGAATAGATTGAAATGAGATAATAAAGAGAAAGAAGAGAGGGAAATTGTGGCAAGAAAAGGGGGAACGGAAAAGAGAAAAGGCAAAGGAAATGTAAGAAAAGTAAAAAAAAAAACCTTGATTTTATACACGTGATGGTCGGTATTTTGCTGCATTTCTTTGGCAGATATACCACTAGTTCTGTCAATTTGCAGGATAAAGGGTGGTGCAGTAAGAGAAGTTTGTGGTGAAGGGATTGGCATCTCATTGGTCCCAGGCATGGAACTAGTTTAATGTTACTGACAATATACAGTATGTGTGCACACAACTTATTGGGTGTGTAGAGTATAAATGGGCCAGGTTCTACTCTATCCATATTGCTGACAGAGGCAGCAGGCATTTTCAAGTACTCACACTAATCTTTAGGGACGTAGGGTTTCCAGCGATGTACTGACTATCTTGTCCTTCTGGTCATTGTATGTTCATGGTAGAGATGAACCTAAAGGAAGACTAGAGAACCAAGCATCTCTGAACTTTGAGGATGTTAAGATCCGGTTAAGCTTTATAACGGCCCTATAGCTTTATCACAAAGTGACGTGATGCAAACTCTGAGGAAGTTTGAAAGTTGATCCAAATCTGAACTTAATATCTTAGAAACATGTCTAATTCAGATGAACAATTTCAAGTAAGCACCAAGCATTCAATAACTATGTGTGTGTGTTATATTAAAGATCTCCCTTAAAACAATTTAGCATAGAAACCACAGTGCAGATGGGTGGATAAAGCTACTCAGTTCAAATACAAGAGTGGATTACAATAGGTGATTAGGGAACTGAGGGCGTAATGCTTGTGGCCATATCTATACAACAAAACTAAATGCAACATCCATGTCCAGATTTACTCATCAGTTAAAAAAAAAAATAGAGGAAACATCTTTAATATAGTTTCAATGCATTTACTTTACTCCCGTAGACGGTTTTAAAAATGTAGGGACAATAAAGGCAAAAGAAGAGGGAAACTAACTACATAATACTAAATATGTACAAATATTAAAATTCACATACACAGTATGTAAGTCACCCTTAGTATCAAAGCATGTTGCAGTAGAGAGGATCTTAATGATAATGTCAATGTACCACTACAAATGAGGGTTATGGGGCCTGACTCAGGTTATTTTTTGAGCAATACAGCCAGCTATTCAAGAGGGTTCAGCTCTTCTTGGTCTCAATGACTGCTGCTGAGAGAGGAGCTCTTTTGAAAATCTGGCCAATATTGACAGGCACAAATATCAGACACCTGACTCTGAAGAGGTCTTGTTTTTAGGAGCAGGGCACCTAACTGCCATTTGTGTTTTTGAAAATCTCCCTCTACATTATGAAAATTTAAGGCTTGTCTACACAGTGTTGGGATTCCCTCTGAGACCTTTTCCACTTGGCTTATCCAGAACCCCTCATCCAGTTCTGGAAGAATACTTCATTTGGTTCTCTGCAATCCAAAAAATCAATTCAACCACAGACTCATCACTGTCGTTTCTTTTTTGGCATCAACTCAAGTGTAGTTTGATTGTAACAGGCTCAAGTGTAGCAGGTGGGTACAGGTTTAACCACACATCCAACGTACAAAATCATGAATCAGCTTATATACACACTTACATATAATACTATTGGTTAATACCTCATATCACACACGTTATAATTGGTCTACTCATTTTTGTAACCAGTCCCTGTACAGATCATGAACTGCCCACCAGTTGCAAAGTCTTCTAACTGCAGCTGCAAGCTTATCACACATTATTCTTCTTTAATCTACTAACTACATGTTATTTACAAGGCCACTTGTGAATTTATGCTGTGCCCATTGTTAGCCTCATTTTCCTTACTTCTGTTTTCTTTCATTGTTCATGCAAGGCCTACACACAGTGCTTTAGTTTGCACCAGGGTGGTGTAAATTTTAGTCCAGCATGGTCCTCACTAACTGACCCATGTGGACCCTGCTGGAGCACACTAAATGTTCCCTAGTGTGTGTTAATGTAGTTCTATTTCAAACAGTTCTACAGTAAAATGCGCTAGGGAGCTTATAGTGCATGCTAGCAGAGTCCATGTGGGCCAGTTAATGCGCAACATGCTGGTGTGCATTAGAATTTACACTCCAGCCAGTGCAGACTAAAGCAATGTGTAGACGAGCTCTGAGTTGACTTTGGTAAAGTTAATCCTGACTTACACTGTTATAAATGAGAGGAGAATCTAACACCAGGTCTTCTCAAATTCTTCTTTTTTCCTAAGTTTGCTCTCTTATTCAACCAACTCTCCCATTATGTAATATTTAAACTGCTTGGCAATTTCAATTTCTTTTAATTACAGCATTCACTGTCAGCAGGAACTTTTCTGTGGTCTCTTTCTGTGTGTCTGGCTCTCTAGATACCATATACAAACAGAAAGAATTCTGTGTCACTGGGGTTACAGCTGCCTAATTTATTTTTTCAGCTTTTTTACTTCTTCCTGTTAGGTATGGACCATAGGTCATTGCCCTATCATGTGTGTTAAGTTTCTCTTCTCCCTGCAGTTCCAGTTCAGTGAATGTCCTGATGGTTGAAGGAGAAAGCATTTTCTGCTGAATGCAGATTTCTAGGTTTAAAATGCTTCCACAGTTCTACTTCTCACTGGAATGTAGTCCTGCTTGTAGGGAGTTACTTGCAAGTAGTCACTGAACACATTCAATCAGATTTCAAACCAACTCATTCTTCACAGGGTTAAAATTCACTCACACAATTTCTTTTTGAAGCAGCGCCCCTGTGACTTATTAGCTAGGGAGAGCGAGCAGAAGTGAAGAGAAGGCCTGGGGGGGAACAGCAATACACCAGTGACTGGGAGGATGGTCTTCCTCTGAGGCAGGCACATGGAACTGTGTGTTAAGAGCCTCTGTGTTATAATCCCAACTCTGCTACTTGCTTGCTTTGTGGCCTTGACCAAGTTAACGAACTCTCTTTGCCTCAGTTTCTCCATCTGTAAAATGAAAATAATATCCCAACCTCGCAGGGGTGCAGAAAAGATGAATTAATATTTGAATGGTGCTTTGATGAAGCAAAGTGCTAAGGTTTATTACTAATGCAGTTTGAATTGTCCCAGGACAATATGAAGAGCAAATACAAAAGTACATCCCCTATAGGAGTAATGACTGCATTTACATGCAGTGTAGGTGAAGAAGAAAGAGGGGGTACAGTAGCATGAAGAGGAACAGAAAAATAGTGAGGTTTAGAGGGGAAGAAAGGGCCTGGAGTGAAGACAAGAGAGAGGGTCAGATGACTAAAGAGAGGCGGGAGGAAAAGACTAGAACAAAGAAGAGCTGATTAGATGGGAGAAATGGGGGCTTTGGCGGGATGTGTGTGAGAACAAAAATCTCTGTCATGCTATAATATACTGTATGTACTATGCTATATAATAAAGATAGAGGATACACTGTGAGCAACTTATTGTCCTTACCCCTTGCACAGCACCAAGTGGGAAAGCAGAATGGTAATGGAGGTCCAGAAGTAGAGCTGAGCAAAATTATTTTGGCAAACAGTTTATTCACCAAAAAATGCAGTTTCTGTCGACACACAGATATTCATGAATTCATGTCATGTTCACCAAATCGATTCACCTGAACTGAAAACAATCAAAACATTTTGGGCATGTTGAAACAAAATATTTCATTTCAATCTAACTCGAAATTTTCATTTTGATTTTGAGCATTTTGACAAGTGCGTCCCTCAACCACTGGTTTGTAGGATATTCTGGTGTTGGTCTTTCTGAAATCATTCCCATAAAAGCTGTCCCACTTTTTATAAATAAATTAAATAGTCATTGGAGCAGGGACTTGAGTCTCTTACATCCTAGGTGAGTGCCATTCACAATGAATAGTCATTGGGCCAGGGGAAGAGAGTGAGAATGACTCTGTAGCCAGGTGGTTAGGGCAGACCCGTATTCCCAAACTGTTAAAGTATGTTCTTTTAAGGCCATGAATGAAACTTGGGGGAGTGGGCACATTTTTCTGGACTCCCGTCCTCCATCAAAATACATTCTCTTTGGGGTGGGGGTTTAAACCAGGGGAGTGGTTCACATTTGATGGGGTCACCATACCCATCAAAACGAGCCCTCTTTGGGACTGAGAGTGAAAGTCAGGGGTCATTTGGATAAGCTCCTACTATTCATTGCATTGCCAAGAGTGAAGATGGCATAGAGGTATGTTTTTGGCAGGCCAAATTTTGACATGACTCTACCTCATCAGTTCTGCTATCTTCAGAGAGGAGGATGGGAAACTCTACATTCCCTCCAACCAAGATTTCTCCTTAGAGGGGAACAGGAGGAAAAACCATTTCTCCTTACCACACGGACAGAGCCCAGGCTAGCAGTCTGGAATTTCTCTGCATTCTGCCTAGCGTCAAATTCTGGAAGCTGCTGCCAATGACAGAAACAAATTGGCTCCCTTAGCCCCAGTCAGAGCTGTCCCTTGGGTACGGCGAATTGGGGCAACTGTGCCGGGCTCCAGCGCGGTCAGTCCCGGATGTGACGGGTCGGTCCTGGAAGTGATGGATTCATCATTTCCGCCCCGGGCCTAGCACCCCCCTCGGGACGGCCCTGGTCCCATTCTTCATAGCGACATCAGACAGGTGCTGTAAATTACAAAGCTCATTCTTAAAATTTAACTCCCAATTTTATTTTATTTTTAAATTACTCCTATTGGGATTTAACAATCAAAGCTTTATACATTTCTCTGTAGCTCTTACAGCAGGGAGAGAAATACTTTATGGAGGATGACTAGAATCCGGATTGCTACAGAGCTTCTAACGTTTTCCCTCTAAGCATCAGTGAAGATACTATACTTTGGAAGTTGCAATGTACAAAGGCACAATATGCCTGCTGAGTAAGAAATTAGTCTGACAGTCATGATGGAAATTACAATACATAGGGATGCCATCCTGGCTGGAACTGAAGTTGGTTATGCAATAGCTACTCGGTGAGGAGAGTTCAGGGCACAGCAAGCCTTAACTCTCCTTGACTTTGTGAGGCAATGTCTGACACAGCATGCTATTGTAACCTTGCAGTTTTCTGTTTAATTTCCTTTGCTCCTTATATCAAATATTCCACTCCCTACAGAACAATAAGGTGTGTTATGCTGGGAAGCACCAACCACTATTTTTTTCCGTCTCTGTAACTAAATAATAAAACTCACTCATTTTGTTTAGGAAGATACTGCAAAATCACTCTGAAATCAGTGGTGCAAGTGTCCTATTCATTTGAATGGAACTTTGGATATTAAAAAATAAAAAAATTGAAAATAAAAGGTACTGGTAAGTGGAACAACAATGCACAGTGAATGTGATGCCCACAATATTCACAAAGCTATGATCTGATTCAAGATGAAGCAGTGTCTTGCAGTGTCTTTTAAACACAATGTATCCCTCTTTTATACAATAGAAATATTTCCATGAAATGAACAATGGGCCAAATGTTCAGCTGGTGTAAACTGGCATAGCTCCTGCTGCCATAGCGGTCTGAATACTATAGATGTTTGAAAAACTGACTAAATCACTTTATACCTCACTTGTAATTTGGCAAAAGATCCCACTGAGCCATTTATAGGTTTTTCTCTGTGTTCCTCCTCTGGAAAGAGAGAAAGAGTGTTCTTGCAATGAAACTTCTCACTGCACCCCAGCTCCAGAAGTATCCCTCTAACCCCAAAATCCAATAAATTGCCTATTGAGACCTAGCTGATAATCAAAAGCCATAGAAGACCCCCTAACTGCGTTTGCAGGAAGATCAGTTCCATAGTAGAGGGAATACATGTGAATAATGCCTCATTCAGACTATTCTTAGTAATCTATTTGAAAATATTCCTTGAGGGACAATACTTCTCAGTCAGGGCTTGATCTAAAATCAGTTGAAATTAAAAGACGTCCTTTCATTGACTTCAGCGGGCAATGGATCAAACCCTAAAACCACAGTCAAAAGAGTCTGACAGACAAAGTATTTGATGTATCCAGGGGCCCTCAAAACTTCTTTATTTGGAACATGTATCTCATGTTATTATTCTAATAAAAACTTGATTTTGTGCACAGATGCTGATTTATTGCGGTAATCTGAAAGATAGCCTAAAATAAGGGACAGGCAATCTTTTTTTAAAACAAATAGTTGTTTATGTACTTCAGCTTGCTACCCAAAAATGTCAATTCTTTCGTTTTAGGGAATGATACTTATTTAATCTATGGTTAGTAGCTGCTTCTTGTAAAAAATATAAAAATCAGTCACAACAAACCTATGAGGGAGCAGTGAATTCACGTATTAAATGAAAAGTTTAATCATATACAGTGTGTTATAAGTATGCTTGAACCTCTATAGTGCTATCAAACATTGCAAATGACATTACATTTTTGTGGCTATTTATAGCCACCCAAGCCCATCATTTGCCTCTTGGAGTTTGGGATTTCTCTTTCAATTGTAAGCAGAGCTTCCTCTCTGGTTTTGTTTATGTGTCTGTCTGTCAGCCCAGCGCCAGTGGCTGTCTCTGCTTTGCTGCCGCTGCTCCCTCATCCTGTTTATAGGTCAGTGAAGATTGCCATTGATGCAGCATTACTGACCAGACCCTCCCACAACACTGCAGGATGTTTTAGTGACATTAACATGAGCAGCCTTTTCAGAGCCTAACATCCATCCCTCTTGCTGGTTTTCCTATTTCGTATACAAAAGCCCACTTTGGTTTCCTTGTAGGCCCAAATTTGCTGTCCCCTTTGTAAAAACACAGCTGCTACTTGCCCACCATTCCATCCAGTTCAAAAGGCTCCAACACACAACTGAATATTTTAGAAACTCTCCTACCAGCTATATCCAAAGTAATGAACAATACCCTTGCCAGTCACAGAACTGTAAGAAAGGGTACACTTAGGTTGAGTGGTGGCGTCACATGGATGACAGTGAAGGCATATCTTGGCCCATATTGTTCTATTCACACAATACATTAGCGTCTCCCAGTGACTGGCTTTTGATTTGTTCTCCCCCAGGGTAGAGTGAATTTTATTATTAAGCATGATCGGCTGGATCCTGCAAGTGCTGAACTCCCCCAGCTCACATTTACTACAATTAAAACTGAAGAGACTCAGCACCGCACAGGATCAAACTCTGCATCCCCCCATCCCCACGTCCATCTCGCTCACCTGAGTGTCCAGAAAAGGGGGCCGATTCCCATTTGCACTAAGGCCATTTTACACCACTCTGACAGTCAAAGAGGCCTTAAAACTGGGTGCCAAAGAGTGGAGGCGTGTGTGGAAAGCTGACCCCACAGAAATCATTGGAAGGTTTGCCATTGATTTCATTCAGGCCAGGTTTTCACTTTGACTCTTTCACACCCAGCTGAAGGCCCCTTCACCCTGGCAGTACTGTCTAAGCTGCTTTAGACTAAATGAGAATCAGACCCAGGATTTTTTTTATTTTTTTTTTGAGTGGTGAAACAAAGTAAGGAATTATAATGATTTAGTCTCTGTCTCCTTGTATTGCTCCTGTGCCTGCTGGAGAGCTACAGATCCCTAGTTCTCAATTTGGTAGTGTGAAGGGAAAGTGGGTCCTGGGTACAAATAATAATGGAGTGTATTCCTTACACATCTGATCTACCCCAGCAGCACCCAACAGGAAAAAAGGTCAACAACATCAAAGGCAGTGAACACACACAATATGGGTGACTGTGAAGGTACATCAGCTGTTGAACACAGAACCGATTGTTGAAATGGAGCCAGCAAGACACAATATCAGTTTAACACCCATCAGCATTGCAAGGGTTTGGTTTGGTTTGGGGTCTTTTTCCAAGCCAGCCAAACTGGAGATTAACTGATTTGAAACCTCCAATGAACAATAAAGCCATGTGTTTTTTTGAAACCTCTGGAAATTGGAGAATTAATCCCTTTCAGTAACAAACCCAAGATAGCATAGAGTTGTTAGAGAACCCAGAATTGCTGCTCTTGGATTCTTCAAAGTCTGAAGGGAACACAGAATTCCAGAACCTATGACCACCTCAATACTACCGAACCATAATCCAGAGTTTACAGTCTCAATTTATGTCCAGAATGAATGCATGAATATCCCCCTTCAAAACCTAACCTATTTAAAAAAACAACAACCTGCAAAGCCCACCAGCAATAATATCTAGACCTTGCTCAGTATCAATTCACAGGTTTGTAACATTTGTGCCTATAATCTCTAAACCAGTAGCTCTCAACCTTTCCAGATTACTTTCAGAAGTCAGATGCCTTGAGTCCAGTTTCACCTCACTTAACAACTACTTGCTTACAAAAGCAGATATAAAAATACAAGTGTCCCAGGACACTATTACTGAAAAATTGCTGACTTTCTCATTTTACCATATAAATTATAAAATAAATCAATTGGAATACAAATATTGTACTTAAGTTCCAGGGTATAGTATATAGATCAAGTCATTGCCTGTGTGAAATTTTAGTTTTACTGACGGCGCTAGTGCTGTTTATGCAGCCTGTTGTAAAACTAGGCAAATATCTAACTGAGTTGATGTATCCCCTGGAAGACCTCTGTGCCCATGTACCCCTGGTTCAGAATCACTGCTCTAAAGCAAGGCTTGTACTCTTTGTTTAGCATACTCATCAGATTGTGAATCGGAACGTAATAAATAATAAATAAAAAATAATACTACATAGGACTGGCCTATGCTCTATTCCACAGTGTGCAGCAAATCACTGACTTCACTGTATTTGGGAGGGATTTTCAAAGCCACAAGTCCCATTGACTTTCAATGGGAGTCAAACATTTAACTGTCATATGTTCCTTTTATAACCTCCTTAGTCCATAGATGCATTTAGAATATTAATTGATTGGGAAAAAAACAGCTCAATTCTACCAGTTCTGGTAACAGCTAAGATCAAACTATTCTATATATGGTGCATGGGCTCCCTTTTCATTTGTTTTGTTTTTTAAGGCCCTGCCTCATGATTTTTGAATGTCTGGGCTTGGCGAAACTGCTGTAATGTGACATGGATTTGGCTTTCAGGAGGTTGTGCCCCTGTTTATTGTTTCTATATTTAAAAAATGTCTAATAACTTTCAAATCAGTCTCACTTCAGCAATGTCTAAGGGATGAGGCCCACTTTAATTTAGCCAAACATCTCATTATAAGAGAGGTGCAGAGGCTCCAGCTCCTCATTGGCATAATTGCAACAAAGGGTTTCTGTGGTAGATTGCATCTGTTTTGTTCTCCCCGATTGTTCTTCTCATCATTTAGATCCATATTCATTTCACAAACAGCTTCTCTCTCACTTTCCTGTGTTCAGCTGTTAATTACCCTCATTCTTTTCATAGGCTGCCAATCCAGTCACAAGGACGTGAGAATCCAAAGACATATATGCACTCAATATATTCCAGATGTTAATTTACTTGTACTTCTAGTTCAACATATTCTTATCTTCACCAAAACAAGGGAAATAAACCAGAAAAGACTGATGTGCCTAAGCAAGCACTTTACCTATATATGTACCTAAGCAAGTAATTATCAAGTAATCACTGAATAATTCCAATAGATGCTGAACTTGGCTAATCTCTCTGAAGAAAATCATAATTATGTACTTTAGAAAGGAAGGATGGCATTTAATTTATAG